CTTAGATGATAAATGGTGCTTTATGTATCGAAATATGCCTCCTTTTAAGGATATGTTGAAGCTTTCACGCGGTATTACTTGCGGGTACGTTAGATGAACGCATTGCGAGCTAGAACGTCTTTCGTGCAGACTTGCCGTTGTTGCACAATCAACGGTGAGAACTGTATATGGCATCAACGCGATGGTCTGAATCTACCAGGTGCGCTGGAATGGAACTATTTATACTCCATAGTTAGGCGGTCGGGGCTGGCAGTTTGCCCTTGATTTCTCCGTATAGGATGGGGGTGGCCAACAACAGTACATAAGCGTTGGCTGCTGGAAAGGTGGTTTCTAAAGCTTGACGCAGACGCCTTCTGAGAAATTTGCATGGTACATCCACTTGAAATGGGGCCCTGCTGAGTATGAGCTTATTCTATGCTGTTAAGACTAAGGGTTTTGGCGGTCTTTTATCCGTGTTTTTAAAGATAAGTCGACTGGGATACCCATTTTTTCGAAACACACGTTCAACAGTCTTTAGTTTCTCTTCGATGCTATCAGTCGAGCAGATCCTTTTCGCTTTTGCGTCGAACGTCGTACACAATTACGTTTAAAGTTTGACGTTTCAAAGCTAGCAAAAATATATGTTGTATGGATTACGTCTTCTTACGATGCACCTTACTTTGAGTATCCCCATTAGCCTTTTTACTCGGTAGTACATCAAAGTTAAATACACTTATCCAACAGCCAGCAGCGCATCGCTTCTGCTGACGATTTTTATGGATTTGCATAATTCTATAGAGGAATAAGAATTAAGTGAGAAAAGTATAGAAGATTTCGCCTCCAGAGTCGACAAATGTTGTCTGAAAATTTTCAGCTGTAATGAGGCCAAATTTAAAGATTTGCATTTATTTTCAGAAACATGAAGCAATTCATGTTTTAAAAATTATGTCTAGATAACTCGTAAATTTGTCGCCACAAAATACAGTATCCAAGAGGTTTCGACGCATTTTCTTTTACCGCGTCGCCTAGTTGGAACATAAACAACATTTTCATATATGTATCTGTGAAAGTAATGTAAGGCAAGCCTTATTTAATGGTAATCATGTAGAAATATACTTCCACGTACACTACAATTTCAGCTTTTGCGTGATTTCGAAAACGGAACAGACAGAAGAGTAATAATTTTGCAAATATCTTATTATAGAGACGGTCACCTTTTTGGGATTTACAAGCTTAGAACAGAGCCTAGAAGTAATCCGCTATGGCGAAAATATTCCAATGTAATGAGAAAATTGAGTTGACTTTAACTTCAGATAAGCTAAAAAATGTCAAAATTATCCATTCTTATTTTGACATCAATTTGGAGGAGGTTAAAATACATAAAATGTTGTCAGCTGAATATCTAATCAAAGCGCTTTTTAAAGAGTTAAGTTTTGATGAAAAATTTTTTTATTATCTATACTACGAATAACAATTACAAACTTCTGTTGCGGACGTTCTTTTTTCGACAAGGTGGTTTGCTTTTTTAAGCTTTTCTAAATATGGTCCAAATGGGCATCTTTACAAGATTTAATATCCAAAAACTCACTGCTTGCAGTAAATATTGTTGATGTCTATCTTATTTTGAAGTTTGGATGTAAACATCGAACAGAATTTCGATTGATGGACAAACACATGGAAACACTGAAAAAAAATTGAATATACGCCAGACTTTAAAGGACGATTTCGAATAATTAATTATCCATTGATGGTAACACGTGTTACAATTTGACTAAGGAAAGACAGGTTTTGTATTAAAGAACGTGGTTAGATTATTTATTAAAATTAAGGATAGATTTTAATTTATTGTTATAATTTAAAGCTATTTTTACGTCTTCCGAACTTGGGGATTATCATGAAAAATTTATTTTTCTTATTTTATGTACATCTTTTTGCATCAAATTTGCCTAACTATGTTTAATAGTATTTTTACATTTTCTTCAATGTGTTCGTGACAATATGGGAGATATGATCGAACAAACTCATGCATTTTGCGTGCAGCACTCGCCATGTTCTATGTGTTCTATAGTTCAGTAAATTCCGGACAAAAGACGGAGATGTGTGAAAAACATTGCTCACAGGAATTTTGCATTCACGAATAAAAGCAAGGAGCGTGAGCATGACATGCTGAACACTATCAGGCTTATAAACTACTATAAGTATTGGTAGCACAAACATTCATCTGGCGACGCTACGTTCCTGTATAAAATGAATCAAGCGCACGGTAATTTACAGCTGTGAAACATTCGTTTTCGGCTAGAACACTACGTCTTCAATTAAGAACTCTAAAGCGTAAATTTTGTTCTGAACTTTTTACATAATTTCAAGCAAGGTGCTCGGTAAGTCAATTTCAATACTAATTCTTTTGTACAGGAACATTTTAACACAGCTTGCCGCACTGTGATATTGCAAATAAAATGGAAGCAGCTTACTGGAAGTGCCCTAAAACTTTTGCACCAAATGACGCAATTTTCATCCTCACCATCTTCGTGAGTTGCGTGAGTCTGCTAGCAAACCTTACTGTCTTCATACTGCTCTGTATCCTAACAGACAAAAGCCGGACCTTTCTAGTACATCTGCGGACTCTCACGGCTTCTACAGCACTATGCAGTCTTATGGGTTTCTTCAGACACGTAATACCTCGGCGAGGCGCACCGAACAGCCCTATCTTGGGTACTATTGTGTGCCATGTTTGGTCAAGCCGCTATCTATTCGACGTCACTTACGTCTTCAGCGGTCTCAACCTCAACTTCATTGTGGGAAACAGGGCACTTCAGATATCCGGCAAGTACCAGGACTCCTTTGCGCCTTCTCTCTTCTCCGACCTCACTTATGTGATAATTATTGGGATAAGTAGTATTTTCTGCGTATTCAGCCAAGTTTTTGTTGTGCAGTGGAATGGTAGTTATTGTGCCTGCAATGATACAGACCTTAAATATGGGGCTGTTGTGGCGGCTTACGTGGGAAACTTTGTCCGTTTCGGTCTGGTGGCAGTCATCAGCCCTGCCATCTTGTGCGCCTCATGCTATAAGATTGTCCAATGGGTGCGTAACACACCAGCGGAGAAGCTTTCGGACGACTGGAATGGCCCGATTTTTCCCGGAACAACAGATGAACAGGCGGTGGAATTGCATCGACCGCGGCGCTGGATGACAGCATCGATGTGCGCTGTACCAATGTCGGTAAAATTCGTGGTATTTAGTCTGTACAACGCGATCTACTCATTCACAGCCGCCTTGGGACTGCATACTTTGGTGCTGGACGGTGTCTATTATAGAATAGGTTCAGTGTTAATTTATACTGAGTTACTCCTCTCACCCATCATCATCGCTATTTACATTCCTTCCCTGCGAGCGCTGTTGTTGCGGGTCTGCAAGTGGCCATTCAACAAGCTATTGAACAAAGCGCCAGCCATAGCTGGAAATGAATCGGGAGATTTGCAGATTCCTTAAATGGCGAATACGGCTACGGGACCCCATGCGCTGCTCACGAGTGCTGGGCGATGATTTTCGCTATCGTGGATCACTAACCGAATAGAAATGCTTCACGCTTCTGCAAAGCTCTCTGTGGATTACGACAGCACTATTCACCCTACTCGCCACCCCCGACCTCTGTCAAAAACAAAGCTATCCATTTTATTACCGTTTTTGACAGTAAAGATAACACTTATCACCCTTTCCATATCAGTTTCTCGCGCCTTCATTTTTTCTGAAAACAACGCTTGCATATCCACGTGTAAACTGGTGTTTTATTAGTTTAATCCTAATAACCTAATTGTTTTATTCAAATTTAACCTAATAAAGCCCGGAGAGTGAGAAAGATACGTTTTATTTTGAGAAAAAACATTCAAAGTTTTCAGCAAAAAAGTTCTCTAGTAACACCAGGATATCAAAAAAATCCGCAATGGTAAATGTCTGCAATTTTCGACTTAATGGTTTAATATCTTAGAAAAGGTCGTAAGATATAGGCTGAATTGCTCTGCCTTTAAAACAGCGCTATCTTTGTGACCTTGTGTTTTCATGACCTCGTAGAAAATTAAATGAACAAGAAGGAATAAATAAGAAACTTTACATGTGAATGGAGGGGTAAAATAATGGTGGCACGCACATATACTCTGTGACGACACGTAAATCTGTGTGCCTACTCTAATGTTCCACAGAAAGTGCCTTTACAAGAAACGTGTGAAGTCAGCAGATTT